AAACTGGAAGCTGATTCCACAAAAGTGGAGCTTGATAAGAAAAGGCTCTGGCTCCCTTTTAGAGACTCTAGGAACAACCAACAACCCTGCATTCTTGGAACGCAATGCCCTAGTAGGACAATAGGGTATAATGAGTTCTTTAAGGTAAGATGGCGCCTGCCCATTAAGGGCTTTGTAGGCCAGAAGAAGAATTTTAAATTCTATCCTGTGTTCTATAGGGAGCCAGTGTAAGGCAGCCAGAACAGGAGTAATGTGGTCCCTTTTCCTAACTCTGGTTAGTACACGAGCTGCAGCATTTTGAATCAGCTGAAGCGACTTGACTGACTTCTTGGTACACCCTGATAATAAGGAGTTACAATAATCCAGCCTTGAAGTAACAAATGCATGGACTAGTTTCTCTGCATCGTTTTGAGGCAATATATGCCTGATTTTTGCAATGTTACGTAGATGGAAGTAGGCGGTCCTTGAAATTGATTTTATGTGGGTGTTAAAGGATAAATCCTGATCAAATATAACACCAAGATTCCTTACAGTCTCACTGGAGGCCAAATTAATGCCATCCATAGTTAATATATCTTTAGATAATTTGTTGATTGTCTATTTACAAACCCCCTCACATGTTCAACTTTTTGATTATTTAGACAAAAAGGTATATTATTCTAAAGATTTGTCTTTAAAATTAGAAACAAGTTCATTTAAATCGGTTTTTTTCAATGGATGTAACTGTCCGCGATTAAATAATGCAAAGATAATTGAAAAATATAAAATATATAAAAAAATTCAAGACAAACAGTAAGCCAACCTCCCAAAGAAACATTGAAAACCACATTCATTGATTATCTTTTATTTTAAATTCACAGATCTTTTCACAATCAGGTAAACTGTTTAGTTTTCATATAGTATCAGTCAGCAGTCACAGATTTTTTCCCAGGAAGCATTGCATGTACTTGTCGACTCGCGCGTCAAAGGTCAAACTTGACGCCGCTCAGCGAGCAGAAGGGCGGAAGCTATTAATCTCCGTCCCGTCGTTGCGTTTCAAACATTTGATAAATGCACCAGTCAATTTTGGAAGCCGGCTGCCTCTGAAACTGAACATTCAAATTTGTTGTGAAATGACATCTCTGCAACACAAATCAATGGCAGTGGAGCAGAATAGTGTGCCGCGCGTCCCGTTGCGTCCACCTCTGCATGGCTGCATTAATGACGTACTTGTCACTCTGTGTTTTATTGGCAATCACACTCCGCATGGCTCACATCTCATTTGCAGCGTGTCCGTCAGCACAAAGTAAACCCCGCTGCGAAACAACTCTGCGCCAGATAAAAAACGTAATATGGATATCTGCCATGGGAAACTGTCCTTGTGGATGACAGCGTTTCAGCAACATGAATTATTTTCTGTCATCCATAACAGATAGATGGGTTTTAAATACGAAGCATACATCAGGATAGGAGGCAGGGGCACCACTAGCAAAGACAGAGATGAGTGTGACAGCCAGGCAGGATGTGAATAGGAGAGCAATAAATTAACTCCTAACGCTCTGGGACCATCTCTGGAGGCAAGGAGCTCCACCTCACCTTCCTCCCAAAGCAGCAGGCTCATATTTATGACCAGCTGCAAGCTTAGGAGGAATATTTGCATCAGTCTCATTAATACCTGATGGGCTTGTGAATATTAAGAGTGTTGAAATCAGTGATCAGGTCAAATAAGAAGGTAAGAAGTTAGCATAGCCGAGGAAGTATATGACTCATGTATCTGTCTTAAAGCTTATGCAGAGTCTCTGTGAGTTAGTCTGCTTGATGTATTTCAGGTGATGCTCATATTATTGTCTTCTGCTTGCAAATAGCTCTCTCACTCTCTCTGAAATGCTACCCAGGCATCAGTTTACAGCGTCGTATAGTGCACTGGTTCCCAACCTTTTAGGCAATTCACTTTTAAGACATTTCCCCACACCCCCATCAAGGCATAAGTACCCCTTCATCAGTTATGTTCCAAATCAGTTGATTGCAGGTGTTTTTAAAGTGGATGTTAAGTAACACTACATTAAGGTTTGCTACTACCACTGATGCCATTTATCGATTGTATTTCAACTTGTCTATCCAGGGCTTTTAGCCAACTATTTTAGCTCTTTATCTGTTTACTCATTACTTTTATTTGAAATCTCAACTGTTCGACCATTACATTTAGTTGCCTATTTTAGGTGTTTATCACTGACTTTTAGCTTACTGTTTTAGCTGTTTACCCATGACCCTTAGTTATCTATCTCAACTGTTCATCAATTACTATTAGGTATCTATTTAAGCATTTGTCCAACATGTTTAGCTAACTATTTTAGCTCTTATCCATCAACTTTAGCTATTTTGGCAGTTTATCCATGTCTATTACAGCTACTACTTTTCCTTACAATACAGAATCTTTTAGCTAATCATTTAAAATGTTAAGCATGGATGGGAAGTGTGTAGCTGTAGTGTTTAGCTGGCAGCTTACCGGTTATTAATTGCTATACATGCATCACACCAATATGTGATACTTTGTGGGTACTTATTGTCCTTCTTAACACAGATATATGTGTGTATTTTTTGTAACATTCTTAAAAATACACGAGTCGTAATTGCATCC